CTTGAATTAGTTTGTTAATGATGTATTTATATTGGGTATTCGGAATAATGACATTGTAATGTTGTATCCTGACTTCTATCCCATATATTAAATGTATTTTATTGAAACTGGTATTACATTCTCCTTTTAGCTTGATGCATAATGTGAAAATGCTTATTAAGTACGGTTTTCAGGGGGGGGGTGTATAAAAAGGGAGGTAATTAAGAAAATTAAACGACTATACACTTTCCATTTTCTTGTACGTAAAGAATTGTGCTTCAAGCATGTAAAGACACTCTTTCGTTGTTATAGTAAACTAATTCCTTGCTCCTAAATTTTCATTTTTTAAAACCATATTTAACAGTCCGAACTTTTCAAGTGACAGTAAAATGTGTTTTCCAGTGACTTTTTTTAGAGAAGTTGATGGAAAATTCTAATTTACTTTTCAATATCATTCTTTAAAAAATGCGATTTTCGAGATGTTGATGGCAAAATATTTCAACTCAAATATGCCTGGATCTACCAAAGTTCAATCAATAACAATCTGTTGTAAAATCTGCTGGACCTATTCAAATAATCTGCTTTTGTGCATTTGATAAATTGTATTTTTTTTGGGGGGGGGGGTCAAAAATTATTTTCATCATTAATAAAATACTGCTAGACAGATCTTATATTAATTGTACTGCTTTTAGGTTAAATCATTATGTATCTTAAGTCCAGAGAAATGATAAACTGTTAACTTTAAATTTGATTCACAGAAAATTTGCATTTCCATGCAACTCCCCCAATCATCACAAGTATATTTTTGACTGGTTAACAAAACATTTTTAAACTTGTTTATCCTGTTTAAAAACTACATAATATGACTGCATTTACTATGGGTTAGGGGATGACCTTTGATCCAGAGGGAGGAGGGGGCAATTTTTTTCAAGTTGGTTTATTTTCATGGCAGGACAGATTATTTATTTCCAAGATGATTTTTAGGGAAAATTATTAATTTTCTTTCTAACAGATAAAAAGTCTGAAAAGCAAAGAAAAAAAGCAACAATAATAAATAAAATGCCCAAACTTGTTTTCATTATGGTAGGGGTGGGTGAGGGAGGGGGTTGTATCAGTTACTATTTTTTAACCATAAAATGTATTATACATGTATACTGTAGGTTTCAAAATTACTAGTATTACCGGTACTGATATAATGACCCGTGGATGGGAATTGTAGCTATTATTCAAAACAGATTATTTTTTTTTCTTTTCAGCCAATTGCAAGGACATATTATTCAATTTTAAAAGATTAATTGTCTCTTTTAATCACTTTCACATTTAAAAAATATTCATTGCAGTACATCACTCTGACTGATCGTGAGACACAATAATTCTTAATAAAAAAAACAAATTCATAATACTAGTAATTCTGATATTTCAAGTTCATCTTGAATCCCGTTTTGAAACCCCTTTGACCTTGAGGCTAATTATTATGTACAGAGCTGATTTCCTGTGCTATGTAACGTAACAGTGTAGTCTTGTACATTTCACCATTTTTCACATGAGCAAAATTATTCTTTTTGAAATAAACAGAGGCTAAAATTTGTATGCACATGAAATAAACAGGAAAGACAGTTGATTTTACTTGAATTCCAGGATATACAGTGCTGCATGTGTATGCTGACAATAAGTAAACAACTTCCAGTCATTTTTGTACAATGATTTTTTTAATCTTTTTCACTGAAGAGCTCCACAATTATCAAAGGGAGATAATTCAATTTCAAAGTTAATGTCTGCTATTTTAATCAAATATTTCTCATATTCATAGAGAGAATACCAACAAGGTTTTAACATGCCTTTTAAAATTAGATGTTATATTTCTTATTTTTGTTAGTAACATGAATTGAAGTAGCCGCATTTCATTAAAAAACTTTCCCAAATATTGCATTTTTTCAGAAAAAATCAACTTAGACACCGTTTCCATGGTAACTACCCAACATTCATATGATCCAACTATATTTTTTGAAGTAGTTTATGTGGTGGTACTTTCCAGCCAAATTTGAAAAAAAATCTGTGACTATGCGTGCCACAAAAGTTTAAGTGGTTACAGAGAATGGGTATTAAACAAGAAACAATCAATCAATATGATTCTATAACCTCTTCTAAAGTATTGTTTCAAAAAAAAAGCAGAAAATAAAACACGAGTAAAAAAATGCACTTTCGTATTACACGTTACGTCTGAAAAATAACTTAATATACTGAAAGAAAAAAAAAACTTAGGGTAAACTTTTGCGGTGAATTAAATTTGTTTTTTTTTAAATATGTTTTAGTTTTTTATCTAACTTTTAAAACATCTTTCGAAAAGATATAACCAAATTCTCATTTGACTTTGTCTAATTATTCATGAGTTTCTGAATTTCAAATGACGATGCCCCCAAAAGTGAAAATCGAAAACTCTCATTATGTTTAATGTCTCTCCCGTGCATCTGTCAGAGCCTTATTTTTCCTTTGCATGGAATTTCATTAGAGTGTTTATCTTTTTCAGACCCTGGCTTTATTTGGCATGGATTACCACGGAAAACAAAATAAGTCAAACGGCGCGCACATGCGCCAGTGACAGGAATAAAACACTAAGTTGAATGGCTCAAAAATCAAATTGAGGAAATGTTTTCTTTCAAATTTCGTATTAATTTAATGATTATTATTATCTACTGTATAAATAACTATTTTAGTGGTAGTAAGGTGGCGATTTAAGAGATGGCAGGACGAATAATCCGCTCGTTACATGGCTCTGTTTCGCGTTATCGACATCGTCACGGTTGATTTAAAACCATTCGAGACCCTTTCTGACAACGGGTAACAAGATTTATGGGGGAAAATTCACAAGAAACTGAAAAAAAATCATTTTTGTGTCAATTTAATAGTTTTTCTATATTTTCATAGAATTTTGAATTTGAATGTAAAATGAAATAATGAAAATAAAACAGAATAAATACTTCAATGAAAGGTCCGGTGTTGTATAGTAGCCTTTCCCCCTAGCCATCTTTCCCCCCGGAAACATGGCTATATAGTAGTTTTTCCCCCCGGAAAAATGGCTATGTAGTAGATTTTTCCCCATGGAAAGATGGCTATATAGTGGGATTTCCCCTCTTTTATAGCCAGATTACCCCCAGGGAAAACCTACTATATAGTAGATTTTCCCCCCTTTTTTCTATTCCGGTTAAGTTTATGGAGGACCATTCTTTGTAATAATTCGCAATACATGCGTATTTGAAAAAGACATTGATTATCACCGACACGTAATTAAGTAGACTGAAATTTCTTTTTATTATGAAATCAATCCATTACGATAAGGAAATTGTTTTCACGAGTGGGACAGAACTTTTGTATTATATTTCACTTGTGAAATAATATAAAAAAATCTTGTCCCACTAGACGTGAAATAAATTCAATATCCAACCACCAACATTGAATATCCTCTACGAAAAAATATAAAACGTTCCAAATAAGATTCCTCTTGCGTAAGATTGTTTCTTTTATATTTATAAAATTCAACGGAAGACTTGAATGATTCAAGTGTTTCCTCACTATTTTAAGTTTATAATAAAATTTTGTTCTCTCGATTTCATGAATTCAATTCTATCGAATCGATTTCACAGAATATTCTGCCAAAGATAGATTGATATTTGATATTTTAATATCCAACCGATATTCTATGATGTCATTTCAAATCATGATTTATTTAACTGATATCCCCCCCCCCCTTTTCCGCAGAATAGTTCTCGAGAATTACTCAAGCAAATGCAATTTTTTTTACATGATTTGGCTGTCGGACTCTAAAAGGAGCAAATATATTGTAAATACAATAAAAAAAGCTAATTCTTTAAAGTTAAATCTAATAAAATTGGCACTAACTATACCTTTCTATTTTACACGTTTTTTTTATTTAATTTAATATGGCGTCTTACAACATAAACGTTCGTTAAGACATGCTCATAACAAAGTGCCATGGATGAAGGATTTTGCTTTGTTATAACCGTAATTCGTTATATCTGTTACGATTACAATATATTTTAAAGTCATTGGGAATTAAAATCACTTTGCTGTAAGCGTCAATATTCATTATAAGCGCGTTCGCCATCAGCTATCAGCGTGCACTATGGATCTTTTGGCTGACACATGTTTATAACAAAGACAATGTCAAAAGATTTTGTTTCACATACAAAATTAAATATAGTTAAAAAAGGGAAAAAAAGTCCTTAAATTCATAGCACGTTTATACATGTATTTGAAATATATAATTCATGTACGTTGTATAATTTAAGTTTTAAATATAGTATCCAAATAGTTCGATGAATTGCCTGTATGATGAATTCATTACGTTTATACAGTTGACAATAAACACTTTTTCGTTCATTAATGTATGCAAGTACATATATGTAACGTACTTCAGCCACTGTTCAAAACATCGATTTAAAGCCTTATCAGCTTTCCATAAACAATTTTTAAAAATCTAAACCAAAAACGTTAGGGGGAAACCCTACTATGGGGGAAAATCTGCTATGTAGTAGCTTTTCTCCCTACTACTACTATAAAGCCAGTTTTCCGGGGGGAAAAGCTACTATGGGGGAAAAACTACTATACAACACCGGATTTAATTTATTAAACATGAATAAGTACACGATTAAGTCGTCAAATAGTACGCATCCAAGATGTTTCTATAAGTAAATTACTTTCAAAAGATTAAATTTTCAAAATGCCTTAAACTTCAAAAATAAGTTTCAACTCATTTTAAGCTCATATCTATAATGTACAAAGCAATGTTTGTACTTTTTTTTCTTAAGCAGAGATTCAATAAATTAAATATCCTGAGCGCAAGGGGTTTGCTTGAAACCCCTACTGATAGTTATGTAATAAAAATATTTTACTACATTATCTTCTAGCCCCATAGTTTTATATAATACACAGTTGCATAAAATATCAAGCTGTTATTCTTGTCTAAAGCATGGTACTTTACCATTATTTATTATCTTTTTTGCAGAAATGATGGAAAAGAGTGCTCGAGGGAAAAGAGGTTTGTTTTAAGGCAGTGTTTAATTATATCTGATGCCTTGTATTGTGAAAGGCAATTAGCCTTAGACTCCACATAATTTGTTAGAAATCATTCATCTCCATAACAGAAATATATTTGTATTGTAGATTCCTATACATATGCAAATCTATATACTTGCATGCGAGAAATTAAAATAGCAATACAATATTTTTTACAATATAGTATATTGGACATACATTTTATTAGCATTTAGTAAATAATGATACTTATTTTTACAATAGATTTAAATTTTCCAAACATCTAACAAAACGAAAAACAAAAGTAAATTAAGCTTTTATTTTTAAATGTTTATATTTACACAATTATTTATTTTGACATTTCTGTTTGTCAGACGTATGGCTTGTCACGTTACTTCCGTCTGCTGTACAGACGTCTACCATTACCATACCCGATGTTAATTATATCAATTTAATCTGTTGTGAAACATCAGACAGATTCTGGGTGAGTGGCGAATCTAAACTTCTAAAGGTGGATTCCAGAGGAAATGTTCTAATACGTCTTGTTGTTGGATTAAGTGGAATGTCCACTAACACAGATGGAGAGCTTATGTTTACAACGGGAAATAGTGTTGAAAAAATAGAGTCAAATGGAATCATTACCACACTTTTCTCAACAAACGATATTATAAAGTGTATCTACTCCTCTTGCATCAACGGCGACATATTGTTAGGGTTAAATAATACTGCATTGGATACCAGTAAAGTGACTAGGTATGACGTGACGGGACAGAAGATCCTGGATATTGAAGACCAAGGAGTGAAGCTGTATAATTACCCTAGCTACATAACAGAGAACATAAACGGGGATATCTGGACATCTGATACAGTTAAAGTGGTGGTGGTAAATAAATCAGGAAAACATCGGTTTAACTACAGAGGTCATCAGTCTCATTACTTTAATCCCAAAGGTATCTGTACTGATATACTGGGACACGTACTGGTGTGTAATAGTTCTTTATTCCGTCCGAGCGTTCATCTCCTGGATCAGGACGGTCAGTTCCTATCTCTGCTGCTGACTAAAGAACATAATATACATGATCCCAGAAGTGTGTGCGTGGACGACAAGCACAACTTGTATTTGGGACAGTATGGCAGAAACAAAATTAGAGTGTACAAATATATTCAGGTCTCAGATAAATAGAAAGTCCCGAATGCTTTAAAAATGTATTTAGAAAAGATAGAAATTGTACATAATAATATCTCATTTAAATTGTCAGAAATATTAAAAGAGCTTATGTCTGGTTTGTTTCATGAAATTGTCGATATGATATATTTTATGAAAATTAGATATGAAAGGAACTTTTCCAATGTGTTGCATGAATGTATAAATATATATATAAACTTTATATAACCATATCTTTACTTATGAATATTCTATAAATTTGTGTCATATTGTTTCCGAGTTCTTAAAATATAATATAAGAGACTTTTAATATTACTAGCTGACATCCCGCACAATTAAGGAAAAAATTCATGCAGTTTTGTTTACAAAACTATTCGAAAACTATTTTACTTTCACAAATATCAATTTTTCTAAAGGCCTCTTTATTTTATATGTTACAAATTTTAAGCAACTACGGGTGCTTATTGACATTTTCTCTGCTTGAAAACTTTGTTTTATCGCTTTGTATTATCAGCTTAGATCAGAGTTCGTCACTATTTTTTTTTTAAATAATTTATTTATTTTTATTTTAGTCTCTCATTAGTTTATTTCCAAAAAGGAACGCAAATTATTTTTCAATAACATGGTTTTGTATGGGGACACACTTGCTGAATCAACTTATCCATGCAAACCTCTCATTGCCAGTCCTTGGGATTCATGGAAAATCCCAGATGGCTACTAAATCTGTGTATCAGTTATTACTTACCATAGTTTCATAACATTTTCA